GCGCCAATCACTATAGACCCATAGTGTTTTATTTCATTTGAAAGTGTGATGCTTAGCCTCGTCCACTCTTACTGACTCAAAACTAAATTTGATTTGTTGTTAACCTGCACCTTACTCAGAGTTTGTCTGATTTTATCACGGACCAGGGTCTTTGACTAGGGCTGGGTTTAAAAGATCAATTTCCAGATTCAAATGGATTTTAGTTTGAATAATCTGATATCTATTAATTAAATTCTGAATTGATTTTTTAATATAAATGTATTTTGCCAGAAACATCAGGCTGGATGACTGTAATTCATTATTATCAGGAAGTTCTAAAAACTCCCTGAAAAGCCTTCAGTTAATCCAAAATGCTTAAATGGAAGAATTGAGTAATTTGTCAGAAAAGAACCCTAAATTTGATCAAATTTGCCATTTTCATTCTGGAACGAGACGTTGATCTTTTTAAGACTGAGACATAAGATCAGCAAGACATGGGTGGGCGGGGCAGCACCCTTCCACCTCACCAAAATGTCTCACCTCACCGGGAGGGAACCAAACGACAGCACCCAGCGTTTTGCCCCAGTAATACACTTATCATCCTCACCCACTGTACCAAAGAGAGCAAGTAGGGGTCAGGAGCCAGTTTCCTTATTCAGAGTATAGAAAACCTCTTCCCAGACATCAGACCCACACCTGTTACAGCGGGGGTCTGAGCCAGGATTCAGCCTAGCTACTTTGGATTTAGATCTTTGGGATCCTTCGTGTGTGCATATGATCCAAGTCTTTTATTTTATCGGCCAATTCTTGCTTTTCTATTACGTTTTTCCTGAGATATTCTGTCCCCAGAGGCAGGGGAGATGGTTGTGGGGATGTTTGGGTCTAGAAAAAGTTTAATATGGTTATTTATAAATTATAGAAAGGTATTATGTGATAGCAGGGTGGGGTTTAAACTCCTGCCTGATGCAGGGAAGTCGGGCATAGACAGGGCCAAACTTAAGGGGACATGATCTAACTATTTTCATGGTATTCACAGGCACACGCAATGCTAGTCAAACAATTATCTCAGAAAAAATAGTCTATCCTAGAAAAGGTGTGAGGCAGATTAAAGAAAAAGAAACGCTCCCTATCAGTCAGATGGCGCCAAATATCTCTAACCCCATATGTAGAGAAGGAAGAGTGAACGTGCGACGCTGATTTACTCAGAGAGGTCGGTTTTAACGACAAAATAGGGTCCAACCAGCAAGTCAAGTCTCCGCCAATTATCAAAGAGTAGAAAACAACAGAAAAACCCAACACACTGACTGTAGATATGAGACAATGTAAAACCACTTGAAAGACCAACGAGGTCATGAAGTGGGCAGAAACAAGGTGAAGGAATGTGATGGAAAAAACCCCACAGTAGATCAACTCAACAGTCAGGAGAAGGTGAAACAAACAAGTGTATGGTCTAAGGCAGGGGTGTCCAAACGTTTTGCAAAGAGGGCCAAATTTTATAAAGTGAAGATGCCTGGGGGCCAATAGTTCCTTTTGACTTTTTTTTTCATAACAAAGTTACATGAAAATATAATGAAGAACACTTTTAACAGTCACAATTACCTTTATTTATAAAATAGAAATGTACCTAAATAAAAGACACTCAGTCAAGCATTTACAACTCTAAAGACACAATTCCGCCTTTCATTTATATCTGGAGAATCAGACAACTTTGAACAAACTGTATAGAATACCCTAAATTTCCATGAGTTTGCAATATCTTTGCCTAATGAACATTTAAACAGGAGTTATAAGTAATGAAAAGTGTTCTGTTATCAATAAAGTGATAATATCTATAATCCAGTTTTGAGATCCTTCCCAGAGGCCTTAACGCCCACTCACATCCTGGGCCATCTGACCTCAGGAAATCACTGATAGGGTGGGGCCAGGTTTCACAATGAGCTCACCCGAAACCCTGGCTGATTGTGACCCACACCCGTTTTCACACCTTGGCTCATGTGATTAGGTAGAGGATCATCAGGGGGTCCTTTGTCCCTCTTGGTGGGTTACTTCCCACAGCGTTAATCTGGGACTCTCCACCATTTGACCTTAGAACTGAAGAAGCTTCTCGGATGAGAGGTGAAACGATCTTCAAGCAACTTAAAGAAGTCCAGACGCTTTTCTTTGCAAGCTCCTTTGACTACGATGACCTGGATGACTGAGAACCTTCACAGACAAACAAGTGTATGACTGCTGAAGATTCTGCTGTCAGTTTAGGATAGAGACACACACAAAAAGACTCACACACAGCTGCAGAGCAAAATGTTCCTCAGAGGAAACACAAAGAAACAAAAGACACACATTTAATAACAAAGTCCCTGGAGCGTCTGCAGACTGTCCAAAATGCTGCAGCAAGGCTTCTGACGAAAACATCGAAATACTCACATATAACACCGCTGCTTATACAGTTACACTGGCTCCCTGTCGAATTCAGAGTCCACTTTAAGATTCTGGTTCTCACATTTAAGGCTCTTCAAGAACAAGCACCATCATACATCATTGAACTCTTACAGCCCTATGCCCCTAGTAGGTCTCTGAGGTCTTGTGGTCAGGGCCTACTTGTTATTAAGTATACGAGACTGAAAACTAGGGGTGATCGAGCTTTTGCTACTGTGGCCGCCAGACTGTGGAATTCTCTTCCTCAGAACTTAAGATCTGCTGATTCACTGATTACTTTTAAAAAACAGCTAAAAACACATCTTTTTAAAATTGCATTTTGTTAACTTTTGACTGTACTTCGTCTTTTTAATCTGTGCCTATACCTTGTAAAGCACTTTGTGATTTTTTATCTAGAAATGTGCTATATAAATAAAATTTTACTTACTTACTTACTTACACAAACCCGTGATGCAGACGCACAAAGAGACGTCAAATCACAAAGAGCAGCCCAACAAACACGAGAACTCACAACGACATGCAGGAATATACAAAATCACAGCAAAGACACACAAAAACAGTGAGAGCCAAGCGCGCATGTGCAGTGACACAACAGAGAATCTGGAGCTTCTTGGTGGTGTGAAGCATCGGTGCACGCACACAGGTGAAGTCGTGTCTTTGTGTGGAAACGCAGCGACCAGAGTGTGTTTGGAGCCTGGGGCGTCTCTCTGAGCTGCCTGCTCCTAATTGGACCTAATCATCTGCTCAGAGCGTAAAACTGGCGTCTGTGTGGTTCAGGCACAGAAATCAAACACGTCCTCTGCATTATTCATCACTCGCTGCCTTCAAACTAACCCCCCTCTCTGTGTCTTTTCAGAGTTTCTTTGAGGGACAGTCCGCTCCCTGGGATTCGGCCAAGAAGGACGAGAACCGCATGAAGAATCGCTACGGCAACATCATTGCTTGTACGTACCCGTGCACGTCACCTGCATCCGTCATAGAGGCTGATTTCAGCTGTTTGTGTCCACGGACAGTTAATAACATGAGACCGGGAACGCTGACCTCAGGTGTTGGTCTGACATGAGTTATGGGCGTCTCGCTGCAGGATTCTCATGTCAGGCCAAACCTGCACAGCAGCACGGGGACAGGAGGAGGGTTTGGTTCCCAGACAGCTTCCTTTTATCAAGCTCAGAGTGACCTGAGAGAGCTCGTCACACTGGCGGTAAAAACTGACGCCATCCTGCGCTCGTGTGATCAAAATGGCAGCAGCACGGTTACAAAAACTATATATATCCATAGATATGGAGACAGAGTCCCAGAACTTGTCCCGGGACTGTGTTTCCAAGTCTTCCATTTGGTCTCTGTCTTGGACTTGATGTAGGACTTGTTGGTCCTCTTAGATCCTGGATTGGCTCTGTACTCGAACTTTCCAGGAGCTGATAGTCCTCTTCAAATTCCCAAACAGTCCTTGGTCAGCAGTCAGTGCAGTTTTTCGTTCCAGTCTTCCACCTGAAAGTTCAGCAGAGCCTCTTTTACTTTTCCATCATGGCTACGATTCGTGTCACCGACTCTGCGCTGTGTGATTGCTGCTGCTTTGACCTCCTGAGGTCCAGACTGATGTCTCAGTTTGAGTCCAGCCCAGAGTCCAGCTGTGACTCGTTCCCAGGACCAGTCTGGAATCAGAGTGAACTGATCTTGTTTGGTCCTGGTGTCAAAACTTTTCTTTGAAGCTTTCGGCTTTCAGACCAATCACAGGAAGTTATAGAGAAACCAGATGCTAATCAGTCAGGTGGCATAAAACGATGTCAGAGAGAAAACCTGCAGTTTCAGACAAGCTGTGTGTGTGTGTGTGTGTGTGTGTGTGTGTGTGTGTGTGTGTGTGTGTGTGTGTGTGTGTGTGTGTGTGTCCGTCAGGCGGATCTGGTGTCAGTTTTGATCAGCACACTGCCCCAGGTCTCACAAACACATCATGTAACTGCTCAGCTGACGTCCCACAAAGTCGGTGTTGACAGCTGCTGAAGAACATCAGGAAGCACACATGCGCGCGCACACACACACAGGGCCCTGTGGCGTGTAATTATGCTAATGAGGTGTGATGAAGGCCGAGGCTGTGAGCTACGGTGGCCTGCAGGGACACATTTTACATTCACACCCCCCCCATACACACACACACACACAAACACACACCTATCTGTGTGAATGACAGTAGCAACAGCCAGTGTGCTACAGGCGCCAGAGATGACGTGGGCGCTCTGTGGTCGGTGACACGGGAACAATTCAGCTCCAACTTCGATTTGTTTTTACTTTCTTTCATTAAATTTATCTTCATTTTTTTTATTCAGTTATTATTTAAATTTAATGTCATCATTTTGAAACATCACACACAGTTTTCATCATTTTATTGAACAACTGTAATTAAAACTTTATTAATTTATTATTAGATGTTTTATTCTCAGGAACTGAGGATCGAACTAACAGTGTGTGTGTGTGTGTGTGTGTGTGTGTGTGTGTGTGTGTGTGTGTGTGTGTGTGTGTGTGTGTGTGTGTGTGTGTTAGATGATCACTCTCGTGTGCGTCTGCAGCCTCAGGATGGAGGCGGCGGCTCGGACTACATCAACGCTAACTATGTAGACGTGAGTAACACACACAGAGTTTACTTTCCTATAAACGTCGATGTGAAACGTCCTGGTCGACTATGTTTCCATGATGACCATCTCTGTCAGTGTCAGCTGTGTGTAAACATCACAGACATGTTGGCTCCCAACAACTACACACACACACAGACACACACACACACACACAGACACACACACACACACACTGCATGTTTTTGTTCATATGATCATGAGTTTGTGTGTGTGGGTATAACCTCTCTGTTCCCTCTCGCAGGGCTACCACAGACCCAACCACTACATCGCGACGCAGGGTAAGAAACCCACAGCTTCTTCTTCTTCTTTAGCTGCTCGTGATGTTTTTAAAGAAAAAACCTGAGCCGAGGGGTTACGTCGACGCCAGCAGGAAACGTGACATTGCACAATCCCTCCCAGACAAACAATATATGCTTCTACTTGCACCGACTCTTTCACAATAAAAGCCCTTGACCTGTACATTGTGCAGAACTCTTAAGACTTCAGCAGAGTTGTGAGAATTAGCTGAGTGAAGCAGATTAGAGGTGTCACCTTTTGATGTTCACAGTGCTTTGTGATTTCTTTGTGTGTAGTATTTTACTTTTCTATTTTTGAGTATCTTTTTGCTCTGTTTAGTTATATTTCCGTTTCCATGTTGTCTCGTCTCCCCTTCCTGTGTGTTGTTCCATGTTCTCCACCCCATCATGTCCCTCTCTCATCTGCCTTTCCTCCTGTGTGATAGTCATGTTTGGTGTGTCTGCTTTTGCTTCCCTTGTGGTGCCATGTTCATTTGTGTCAGCTGTGTTTCCCAGATGTTTCTACTTCTGTCATTGCCCTCCATGTATTTAAGTCCTCTGTCTTCCTTTGTTCTTTGTCAGGTTGTCTGTTCATCTCCCCCGTGTTCCCAGTTCCTAGTTTCCCAGTTTAGATTTAGCCCTTGGTTTTGCTTTCTCTCTTACTTTTGTACCTTTGTGTTTCAGCCTAAATTAATGGCTCTCCTTTTCTTAAACTTGGTTCTGTCTCTCTTGTGTCTGCATTTGGGTCTGCTCCAAAAACTCTCTGGCTACTCAGCCCCGACAAGAGGAGGCTGAAGCATTTATGTAGGAGTCAAATAAAATCTTACCTTTGGTTGAACAATGCTTTTATTTTTTTAAATATGTTTATTAAGAATGTTTTAGGCTGTGGTGGGTTTGAGGCTGAGATGTGCGTGAGCTTGGGAGGTACTGACTGCATGTACTCGGCCTCACCTCAACACTTTGCTCGGGCTCTGGAGCCAGTTTTCTGGGCTGGACTCTGTTCCACTCTAGAGTTGCTCTGGTTGAGATGCGGTGGGCAGGGGTGGGTACACTTGTATCCCCTGCTTTGTTGCCTGTATGTTGGGGTTTTCCTGGTGGATGAGACGGTTGCTTCCCTGAGCCTTCAGGTGGAGGAATAGGTTCTGACTGTCGTTTGTGCCTATGCGCCAAAGGACAGTTTAGAGTATCCAGCCTTCTTAGAGTCACTGGGTGAGGTGCTGGAAAGTCCAGTCTCGGACTTAAACGCTCACATGGGCAATGACTGTGTGACCTGGAGGGGTGTGCATGGAAAGAACAGCATGCCCGAGTTGTGTCCTGCTATTGGGCTTCTGTGCTACACTTGGTCCACAATGAATACCGTGTTTGAATATGTGTTCATAAGTGCACCAGGACCCCGTAGGCCGCAGGTTGATGGATTTTTGTAATCGTATCATTGGTTCTGCAGCTATTTGACACTCGGTTGGAGCTGTCAGCTGTTGTGGTGCCATTTATTCAGGAGAATGAGGTATTCTACACACACTGTCTACAGTGATGGTAGGAAGATATAGTCATGCAGTGGAGGGAACACTTTGAGAATCTGCTCAATTCCATAGTCACACCTTCTGTAATGGAAGCAGGGTCCGTTGAGGAGGGGGACCACTCACCCATCACTAGCTACAATGTAGCTTGCCATCGCCAGTGTGTGAATGTGTGTGTGAATGGGTGAATGACTGAATGTAGTGTGAAGCACTTTGGGGTCCTTAGGGACTAGAAAAAGTGCTATACAAATGCAGGCCAGGCCATTTATCACTAGGGGTAATGTTACCTCATCCACCCTACTGACCCTAGGGTGGATGAGGTTCGAGTTCCTGAAGGCTCTGGATTTGGTAGGGCTGTCCTGCCTGACACACCACTACTGCAACATGGAGATTTGGGGCGGCGCATCTGGATTGGGAGACTGAGGTGGTGGCTCCATGTTTAAGAAGTCTATGCCAGGGTGCTGGAAACGAGAGTCCCTCCATTACTTGAACCTCAGGTTCAGGAGGATCAAGGGGGTTTTCGTCCTGCTCGCAGAACACTGGACTCTCGAGGATATTTGACGGTCCATGGGAGTTTGCCCAAGTTTACTTGTGTTTTGTGGACTTGGAGAACAAACTCTACCCTCAGAGAACCCTGTAGAGGGTTCTTCAGGTGTGTTGGGTGTCTGGCCCATTGTTACGGGTCATTTGGCCCCAGTACAACCATAGTGAGAGCTTGGTTGGTATTCTAACGGTAAGTCAGAGATGGAGGACGTCTCAGTGTGGGGGCGGGGGGAGCTACAGTCATCCATCAAAAATGGATGGACTGACTGTATTCGATAATATCTGGATTGTTTTGGATGTTAAGGTTCAGACGTGTTGTTCAGACTCTTTCTGAGGACAGCATCAGCAAAAAACATCACAGAGAATCTGTGAGATTTTAGGTTTCCTGCAGTTTCACAGTCACATCCAGCCTGAGAGCCAACAGGTCCGTGTGCCAAAGCATTCTGAGAATTGTAGTTACATACTTCACTTTTTTATTTGAAGCAGAATTCAGAAAGTTTCAGTTTTAAGTCGTGAATATTAAAACACACGATGTGTTGTTGTTGCTCAGAAAGCCAGAACAACAAAACAAGTTCCACCTCTGACCACAGGTGGCGCCAAATCACCTGACACTGACTGTACACACACACAGAGATCAGATCTCCAGGTAGAAATCCATCGTCCTGAACAAACAGTAGTGTTTGGGCCAGCACGTCAGTCTGTGAGCATGAATATGCAGTGTGTGTGTGTGTGTGTGTGTGTGTGTGTGTGTGTGTGTGTGTGTGTGTGTGTGTGTGTGTGTGTG